TGATGGGGGCGGGGCAGCCTGGCTCACTCCTGCACCCCGGCCCGACAGTCGCAGCCGTCTACGATGTCACCCTGAATTTCCGGGGCAACAAGAACCCGTCCTTGCTGGGCATCCTTTACGGGAAGAGGTACGAGGCGGACATGTGTCTGAGGTGAGCTCAGTGCCCGGCGGGCGCCCGTCCTGCCCGGTGCCCCGCCCCATGCCATCCCAGCCCCGACACGTGACCCCTCCGCCTCCTGAGCTGCCCCCAGGTGGAGGTGGCCAAAGTCCCACCATCTTGGGTGGGCAGGTACGGGACAGGCGTGGGGACCATCGGCTGTCGCAGGAAGTGAATGAGTGGCTGTCGGGGGGAAGGCAGAGTGTTCCGGGTGGTCCAGGGAGGAGCCACCCCCTCGCTGGAGGGAGCACGGAAGCCTTTTGAAAGAGGCTGAGCTAAAACTCACACAGGGACTAGGATTTCCACAGGCAAGACAGGGACAGCTGTCCTGGCCGGAGGGAGACTCCACGGTCCCCTCTTCATGGTGTGTGACAAGTTAGAAGGGAGGGTCAGGGCCACACTGACCGCAGTTCCACTCACCTCCTGGCGACCCAGAGGCTGAGCCCCGCAGGTTCCACCGCACCAGCAGCAAGGCCGGGTGTCAGGGCTCTTCTGCCAGAGGAATGTGGGAGCTGGTCCATGCAGGCCACTCGGGGGCCTTAGGAACCCCGGGAACCCAGGGAAGGAAACTCAATCTGAGGCAGGGCCTCAAATGATCAGAAATGATTCTAATTTTTTGTGCAGTGAGCAGGTATTGAGTGCTTACTGAATGCAAAGCAAGAGGTTAGAGGTGGGGTGGGGGCCAGGTAGAGAGACCAGAGAACCACGTGCCTGACTGATTCCCCAGCAGAGACACGGAAATGTGCTCAGTGGGGCCGTGGAGGGAAGGAGAGTGACCCCCGTCAGCCCACAGCAGGGCTGGTCGGAAATCCTGCCCAGGGACCTCAGCGAGGTGGAGAATCTCCTTGCAGGCAAGCTGTGCTCTAAGGGAAAATACAAAGGGAGACCTTCATTTTGTTCCAACTTTGTGTTTCATTTCTTTTGGGGAAGTTGTCAGGAGAGAACGTGAGGGGCCATCTGCCACCCTCCTGCCCCCTGCTTGGGAGCCCGTGCCATTTGCTCCCTTGGTCCCACTGACAGCATCGCACTTATTCTCAGAGAAAGCTTGTGAGTTTTTGGAAATTGAGAGTGAGGTTGATTAGCAAAAGCAGGCCAGCAAGTAACCCCAGTGCACAGGCTTCCCCCGTTTTCAGTTGGCTGCCATCTAGTTACTCACGTGACCTTCACTCTTCCTCATAAAACAGGAGGTTCCCCCTGGAAGAGATCCCGCAGGACGAGAAGGAAGCGGCTCAGTGGCTTCACAAACTGTACCAGGAGAAGGTAAGGGCACGGCCCCGGGGGGCGGCGGACGGGCAGGGCGGCTGTGCGTGGCTCCCCCGGCTTCAGGAGTGCCGTGCGGTTCCCAAGTACTTCTTTCTGAGCCTTTTTCTTCCGTTTTCCTTAACTTCTGAGCAGTGAACAAACTAGAGAAAAATGTAAGCATGACACAGTGCTTTTGTAACCATGGCGAACAACATTTGATCACACTGTTTCATTGTTTCACGTAAAAGAAATTTTAGATACGTAACAGACGTATATATGTGTATGTATGTGGAATGCGAGGAGAAACACAGTACAGATGACGTGTAAAGATTCTAAGAGCACACCCAGCCCATCTCCATTCCCCTATCCACGCCTCATGCCTTACTCTCAATTCTGGTTTATTTTATCTAAACAGACATACAGGACACCAGATTTTTGGTTTCAGCACTGAGGGAGGGTTAGATAACTAGAAAATCCTCTCAGTAGTATATATCAAATACAGTGGCACCTCGGTTTCCATACGTCTCCGTTGACGACCATTTTGGGTTCCGAACGCCGTGAACCCAGAAGGAAATGCTCTGGTTTCCGAACATGCCTCGGAAGGTGAACATGCCACCCGGCTCCCGCTGAGGGCAAGATCCTGAGGCCCAGCTGTCGGCTGTGGATCCCTCGGGTTTTGAATGTTTCAGAACTCGAACGGTCTTCTAGAACGGATCACATTTAAAAAACCGAGGTCCCACTGTATCCTTCTAAATGCACTGACGAGCTTGTGAGAAAATAGGGGAAATCTCTAGGGATCAGAAAGGCAATGGAACTAAAAACCCGCGGTAGGCCTGTGGACCAGCACCACCACGGCCCCCTGGGGAGTTTGCTGGTCTCTTTACCTGGAGCCTGCCCGCCTGCAGGCAGAAGGTAAGGACTTGGCCTTATTCAAGGCAGAAGTTGGAACTGGAAATCACGTGAAGCTGGAACCCTCTGAGCCTTACTTTTTCAGAAAGGTTAAGCATAAAACATTTACCTGCCAGCACAGGGAAATGACTCTGAAGCTTTCCTCTCTTGGTCTCAAAAGGGTCCCCCTGACAAGTCACAATCACAAGCCTGGCTGCATACAGGTTTGAATTTATACTGACAACATAGTTCAAGAACAAAGACAAAATATCAACATAAAAAGTGGTTCCAGAGGAGATTAAAGATGGCGGTGGACTGAGTGGAAGCTACACTGACACTCTCCCAGGTCCAAACTGGAATTACAACTAAAGTATAGAAAAACCATCCTGAATCATCAGCTGCAACTGGAGATGAGCTGGAGAGCACCCTCATAACCAAGGGGGAAAAGGGGAGACCCCATAGAGACTGGCAGGAAGTGCGGAGGCGAGAGGGCCAGCTGGGCCCCCACAGGCAGCAGCTGAAAGTCCAGAGAGAGATCTCAGCTATGGGGGTTCCCACTGAAGACTCTGGGGCCTAAACCCCAGGCTGGGCTTCCCAGCCCAGAGCACCAGACCTGAGAAAGGTGCCCAATAATATCTGTCTGTGAAAAGCGGCTGGGTCTCTGTCTGCCAGGGTGAGACGTCTGGAAATGCAGGCCCCCTCTTAAAGAGCCAACACAAAGTTTCCTGTGCAGCCACTCACCTTGGCCTCCCCAGAGGGAGGGCAGAGTGGACTGGGGCTGTGTGAGGAGAACCTAAGGCTGTGGGCTCTGGACATAGAGCTCAAAGGGCACCCCTCTGTATTCCTGGGCCGAGTCATTCCCCCACACTGCAGAGGCAGACATTTACCTTCCAAGAAGCTTTTGCCTGAGGGGGAAGCAATTGCCCCACCCTGCTAGAAAACCTCTCACCCTACACTGTGGAGTTTCTTAGCCTGAGGCTCATTAAGAGACTGATAACAATCAGCCACCCCATCCTGTGGAGTTTCTAGAGCCTGAGGCTCATTAAGAGAATCAGATTAATCGGCTTGCAGGCAGAGGCAGACTCCAGAATGCTTGAGTCTTTGCCTAATCTGCTTCTGGACCTGGGCTTTGGAAAAGCAGACTGGTGTGCATCTTGGTCCTGTCCAAACACACTCAGCCCCAGCAGAGGGGACCTTAAGCTGTGGGTTGTGGATAGTTTCAAACACGGTACTCAAAGCCCATTACAAACAGCATCTGACATTGGCCTGCACCAAAGACCATCCAAAAAGACTGAGAGTCCTAACAGGCCTACGTAATACATAGAAACAAACCCAAATAGGCAGCCAAAATGGGGAGACAAAAAAACAAGCCCCAAATGATGAAAGAACAAGAGAAGTCCCCAGAAAAAGAGCTAAATGAAATGGAGATAAGCAATCTCTCAGATACAGAGTTCAGAATACTGATTGTAAGGATGCTCAACAGCATGAAAAAAGATATGGAAACTATGAAGGAAATTAAGAATGACATAGCAGAAATAAAGAATACATTGGAAGGAATAAACAGCAGATTATAGGAAGCTGAGGATCACATCAGCGAACTAGAAGACAGGGTAGAAAAAAATCACTGAATCAGAGATCCAAAAAGAAAAAACAATTAAAAAACAGGAGGACAGTTTAACGGAGCTGTGGGACAACATGTAAGGTAATATTAGCATTATAGGAGTGCCAGAGGAGGTCAAAAGTAAGCAAGGGTTAGAGAATCTGTTTGAAGAAATAATGGCAGAAAACTTCCCTAACCTTGGTCAAAGAAAAAGTCACACAAGTTCAGGAGGCACAGAGTCTCCCAAACAAGAAGAACCCAAAGTGGCCCATGCCCAGACACATAATTAAAATGCCAAAAATTCAAGACAGAATATTAAAGGCAGCAAGAGAAAAGCAACCTGTTACCTACAAAGGAGCTCCCATAAGGCTGTCGGCTGACTTCTCATCAGAAACTCTACAGGCCAGAAGGGAATGGCATGAAGTATTCAAGGTAATGCAGAACAAGGATCTGAAACCAAGACTACTCTATCCAGCAAGAATATCATTCAAAATAGATGGTGAAATAAAGAGCTTTCCAGACAAAAAAAGGCTAAAGGAGATTATCACCAAACGGGCATTGCAGGAAATGGTACAGGGACTGCTGTAATAATAAGAAGAAAAAAAAAGAGAAACATAGGCATAAAGAAGTAAAATGGCAATAAATAAGGACCTATCAGTAATAACCTAAGCACTTTAAGGGAGAGATCAACAGCAATACAGTCATAGTTGTGGATTTTAACACCCCACTGACTTCACTGGATAGATCTTCCAGACAGAAAGTCAACACAGAAACAGTTACTAAATGACACACTTGATCAGATGGATTTAGTTGATATTTACAGAACATTTTATCCCAAAGCTGCAGAATATACATTCCTCTCAAGTATACATGGGTCATTCTCAAAGATAGATCACATGTTGGGAAACAAAACCAGTCTCTACAAGTTCAGGAAGATTGAAATCATACCAATCATCTCAGATCACAAGGGCATGAAATTAGAAATCAACTACAGTAAAAACGCTCCAAAACATTCAAACACATGGAGGCTAAATAGCATGTAATTAAACAAATAAATTTGTTACCAATAAGATCAAGAAAGAGATCAAAAACTTCCTGGAAACAAATGAAAATGAACACACAACAACCCCAAATCTGTGGGACACAGCGAAAGTATCCCTGAGAGGGAAGTTTGTAGCACTGCAGGCCTACCTCAAAAAACAAGAAACATTTTTAGTAAACTATCTAACCTTACAACTTAAGGATTAGAAAGCTCCCCTGTGAAGCCAACTAGACCAGGGCTTTGTTTGCTGGGAGTTTTTTTATTACTGCTTCAATTTCATCACCTGTTATTAGCCTGTTTGGGTTTTCTGATTCTTCCTGACTCAGTTTCACTGATCTCACCCATGTGTGGAATCTAATAAAGTAGACTGAGGAAGAAAATAGATCCAGAGACATAGAAGCATGGAACAGACTGATGAGTCTCAGTGGGAAGTTGGGGGTGGGGAGCGGGTGGGGAGAGATTAATCAAAGAACTTCTATGCATATATGCATAACCTGTGGACACAAACAATAGTGTGGTAAGGGCCTGGGGTGGGGGGGCGGATGCGGGTTGGAGGGGATCAATGGGGGGAAGGAAGGGGTGATATCTGTAATACTTTCAACATTAAAGATAAAGTTTTTTTAAAAAGATATTCAAAATAAAAATAATAAGTAAATAAAAATAAAAAGTGGTTCCAGGCAAATCTCCCTGGACTTCCTGGGAGAAGCATGTGCAAAGCTGAAAGAACTTGACTCCAAACCCTAAGCTGCCCAAAATTTCCTCAGGTGAAATTCTGCTGGAGATTAACTCAGAGCAAAAATCTATCCCGGGCAAGACACACAGAAAAATGAAACCCTCCCAAAAACCTCAGCTAGTGGAACTATCCAAAAGAAACTAAAATCAGTATTTTTGAAATGATTAAGCCCAAAAGAAGGATCTGAAAAGAGCAAGACCTATGGGGAAAAAATGAGCTAGATTTGAGAAAAACCAAGTAGAATTTATAGGCATGAAAAATCTAGTCATTGACTGAAATCTTAACAGTTTAAATATCAGATGAGATACAGCTGAAGAGAAAATTTGTAAATGGAAGATTTAGAAGAAATTAATCAGAATGCAGTGCAGAGGAAATGTAACTATGAAGGGAAGGTTAAAAGATACAGAGAATAGACGGAGGGGTCTAGTAGGTAATATTAAAAGGTCCAGAGAGAGAAAGTAGAAGGAATGGTGAAGAGCAATTGTCACAGCCGATAACCATAAAACTCCTAGAATTGATGAAAGTGGATTTCATCAGGTTCGAGAAATACAAGTCTGGGATAAGATAAGTAAAAATTAAATTCACTCCTGCTTGGCAATGAAATTGCAAAACACCAAACACAGAGAGATCTTAGAATCACCAGAGGGAAAAGACATGCTCTCCACAAAGGAATGACCCTGAGGTCAACAGTGGACATGCATCAGAATCTCTTCTGAAATCTTACACATTTTATGCTCTTAATAACCACACACACACATACACATACATTATACATGCATACACACGGACACACAAAACAGAGTAAACCCAGAGAGTAGAACAAAGAAAAAAATAAAAATAGCATAAATTATTTTAACAGAAAGCAAAGCTACAAAAGAGTGAATCAGTTGCACCAAAAGCTTTTTCTTTAAGACCATTATGAAATAGAAAGCCTTGGTAAGACTGACCAATTAAAAAAGGGTGATGCCATTAATGGGAATCAAAAAATGTGACCCAACCAAAGAGCCGGGAGTGAAAATAATATGAGAGCAGTATGACTAGCCTTATGCTCACGCATTTGAAAACTAAGATACATGTAATTTCAAAGAACAATATAACTCTCTCCAGAAGAAAAAGGAAGCCCACATGAAACAGAAACCGAGTGTGAGCATCAGGCCGGGAGCAGGTAGACCTCGGGTGCACCAGGTGGCCAAGGAGTGTGCGTGTCTGAGACTTGAAGCTCTGCGTAAACAAAGTGACAGGTGCAAGCAACAGGACTTGTCCAGCAGGAAACGAGACGTGGCCTAAACCCAATGATTAGGAAATAGATACATTGTACTTATGTATTCACTTGCTGTGATTCAGTTAAATTATCAGTGTAACTGAATCTGGAGAAAATAGTGTGAGAAAAGCAGATTGTAATATGTACACAGTGTGATGCTACTCACAGAAAATTGCGAAGCCTGCAAGCACACGGTATTATTGTTGTGGACGCCCGTGTGGGATGCCGGTGTGAAACCAAGCATGGGAGCGGAAGTCCCAGGTCAGGCACGTCGTGGTATCTGTAGGTGAAGGGACACAGGGCAGCAGAGGACAAGTTTTGACATAACTGATTTGTTGATTTATTTGGCTGTTTTTATATTTTTTTGCTATGCTTTTCTATAATGTTGAAATATATAACATAACATTTTCCATTTTTTTTGTGTGTCATATCTTTATGCAAAGGACACCCTACTGTGGTGTTCTTCTATTTTTTTAATTTTTTTCAGTCATTTTTTATATCTGTCGATGGCGACAGAAAGGGACCGAACTCACCCCTTCTAGCTGCTGCCTGGTGCTGCACCACCGGCCGGTGCCCCGTTCCTGTCTTGCTTCCGCTTTGCTGCGCCCAGTGGGGCGGGGGCGCAGGAAGCAGACGGGAGGGGAAACGTGCAAATGCTCCCCGTGCCCGGGCTGGGCTTTGCCTCCTCCTGCAATGCTTGGCGCACGCGGACACTGGACCGTCATGTAAAACGTGGCTCCTAATCCAGAACGGTGGTGAGCTGGCACTGGGGCGGTGTGGGAAGGTCCTGCCTCTGGGTCTGCAGGGTCCTCTCGGCCCTGGTTCACCTTAGCCACCTGCCGTGAGCCCGAGAGGCCCCGTGCAGCGCCCGGCACCCGGTCTGGCTGCTTAGGGTCAGGACGGTAGAGTGGAGGTGGCCGAATGAGCTTGAAAATGGCAGGAACGTGCCGGTGGCCGTGGAGGGCAGGGCCTCACAGACGCCCCAGTGTGCGCGCGGGCACGAAGGTCGCGGTGCTCCTGACCACTCACGGCCTCCGGGGGGGGCGGCTGGCGCCCATCCACAGGTTGGACGAGGCTCTGAGACTGGTGTTAAGCCCTCCCCCCCGTTTTTATAAACCACGAAACACAACTGTGGAAAATTGAATGCAGAAAATAAGATGGAAAAAATAAAAACATGACACTGTGATCCTTAACTAGTTAGGATCCCATGGGGGTGCATCTTCTAAACTCCGTCCTGTACATACAGACACCCAGTTGTTTAAGTGGACCGCGTGGTACTTCAGACATCACGGTGCGCCCCCTCATTAGCGCGTTCTGCGTCGCGGCTGCGGGGAAGTCTGCTCTGTTAGGTGTCCCCTTCCCAGCCAGCCCATGCTCAGCGTTCACAGCACGTCAGCGGGCCACTGCTGGTGGTGCCCAGGGAGTGTCGTCTCCCCAGGTCCACCGGCGGCTCTCTTCCTGTCATCAGCCTAAAGGAAGCAGAGGAAGGAGAGGTGGGTGACAGAGCCGGCAGAGGGTGATGCCAGGACTGCCACCCCTGCCCTTGAGATCTCTCGGGAGATGATAGGGGTCCTGGCTCACACCGCCAGTCTTGGGGTCACAGTGCCCGTCCTGTGCCAGGCACAGACTCATTGTTTCCCTAGGAAACGGGTCAGGTTGAAGGGTTTGTGGCCTTACAAGCTTTGGATGCAGACAGCCAGGGTTCCCTGCGGAGGCCATGCCCACTTGGCCCCCACCTGCAGCACCCAGTGGCCCGCCCCGCGTGGCTCTTCGCGGACCGAGCCGTGGCTCCCTGCCAGCACTGCCCGGCAGGCTGGCGGACGGCCCGTAGACGCCGCCTCTCCTGTGGACTCTCGCAGGACGCCTTGCAGGAGATGTATAACCAGAAGGGCGTGTTCCCGGGACAGCCGTTCAGACCTGCCCGGCGGCCGTGGACGCTCCTGAACTTCCTCTTCTGGGCCACGGTCCTGCTGTCGCCTCTGTTCCGCTTCGTCCTGGGCGTCTTCGCAAGTGGCTCCCCCCTCCTGATCCTGACGTTCCTCAGCTTTGTCGGGGCAGGTAAGGGGTGTAGACGGCCACACGGCTCACGGCCGGGGCCCGCCGTGTGCCGGCTGAGGTGCCAAGGCCTGGAGACCGTCCCTGTGCCTGGGGAGGCGTCAGGGAGCGGGCCCTGGCCACTGCCGCGGAAGTGACCTGCTGCTGGGGCAGGCCGACTGGGCACGCGGGGCAGGGGGAGGCGCGGGAGTCGGCCTGCCTGCCCCCCCCACGCCCCCAGGACCCATCTAACCTCCCCTTTCTCCTGTTTTAAAGCTTCCTTTGGAGTCCGCCGACTAATAGGAGTAACTGAGATAGAAAAAGGCTCCAGCTACGGAAACCAAGAATTTAAGAAAAAGGAATAATGAGTGGCTGTGATTGAACACGCGTAACCTGACGGTGGTGTCCAGTTAACTCAATTAAATGCAGAACAACACACACAGAGGAAAAGAGACACTTAGAAACTATTTTTCTTATTAACTGGTGACTAACATTAACCAATAAACTTGAGCCAAGAGTAAAGAAGTCGGAAGGCCTGCCAGATGGAGACGGTGGGTCGCGGCCCACCAGCACCTGCCTGTCCTGCGGGCGATCGGGCACCGAGGGCGGCGCCTGCTCGGGGAGGTGGCTCCTGGGTCCTGGGACTCACCCAGCCAGCGTCACCTCTCAAGGACTCTGCCGGCCAGAGAGAGCCTCTGATGCTTTCTCTTCTTAAACCTGGGTCCCGTCTTTGTTTTTATCTGTGATTCCCGGGAGCTCGCCCTGGCCCCTCGCCTCTTCCCCTGCATCCCCGGCAAACTCTCTTCACGACTCTTTCCCAGTCCTCCTGGGAGCAGGTGTCACAGGGTCCCTGGCCCC